TGTACTTCTTTTTCCTGGCTTAGATATTGAACCTCTGCAACTGCAAAGAGGATGTCAGAAAGAGGGTTCATGGAGTGATTGACAAGTTTGCTGAGCGTGGACTCCGTTCGTTAGGTGTTGCTAAACAGGTTAGCAAAGCTGATATTTGACATTTCTCTTCTCCAACCTATTAACTATTTCAATGCCCTTCATCTATTGCTGTTTGCATGGTCTCTGCATAACAGGAGATACCTGAGAAAAACAAGGATAGTCCTGGTGCACCATGGCAGTTTGTTGGTCTGCTACCACTTTTCGATCTTCCAAGACACGACAGTGCGGAAACCATTACAAGAGCTCTGAACCTTGGTGTGAATGTTAAGATGATTACTGGTAAGATTGGAGGGAGACCATTCTTTCTTGTCGTTCATGTTTCATGCTAAAAATGAAATCATGTAGCTTAGAAACTGTTTGTGGGCTTCTTGTTCTCTAGGTGATCAGCTGGCCATTGCGAAGGAAACTGGCAGAAGGCTTGGGATGGGGACAAACATGTACCCATCTTCTTCATTACTTGGCCAAAGCAAGGATGCTTCTGTTTCAGCTCTTCCAGTTGATGAATTGATTGAGAAAGCTGATGGATTTGCTGGAGTATTTCCTGGTAGGTCCTTGTCCTGGATAATAACCATCATCATGGTACTTGATAGCATCAGCCGTCACACATTTTTTTTTTTTTAATTCATTTTAGACATCCTTTTCTTGTTCAACGATCAATGCTTCTCTGCAAGCTGGTGACATGGGATGGGACTACGTACTACTTTCTTTAACAATACTAACCTTCATGGTGACATGCTTCAAATCAAACAACATTTTATTCATTTTTTCTTCTCGCTATGACATGGCAGAACACAAATATGAAATCGTTAAGAGGTTGCAAGAGAGGAAGCATATATGTGGAATGACAGGTGATGGTGTCAACGATGCCCCTGCTTTAAAGAAAGCAGACATTGGAATTGCTGTTGCTGACGCCACAGATGCTGCTAGAAGTGCTTCTGACATTGTCCTCACTGAACCTGGTCTGAGTGTCATTATTAGTGCAGTGCTGACCAGCAGGGCAATTTTCCAAAGGATGAAGAATTATACTGTTAGTTCCTTGAATGCATAATTTGATTGCCTGACTTTATTTAATATCTTAACAACCTAACTGGGAAGTGTTGGTTATGGCAGATCTATGCAGTGTCAATCACCATTCGTATAGTGGTAAGTGCAGAAAATGTTAATTCAAAAAACATGTCAACATTTTTACAGACACATATATACACGGTTCATGTAATTTATGTGATCTACTTCTCTGTGGCAGTTTGGTTTCATGTTTATTGCATTGATTTGGAAATTTGATTTTGCACCCTTCATGGTGTTGATTATTGCAATACTAAACGATGGTAAGATAACACTTATTTAACCTTCGGGCTGTTTATATAGACTATTCTGTCAAAAAAGAGTTTAATTTGATTCCCTTCACCCCTATTACATAGGTACCATCATGACAATTTCCAAGGATCGAGTGAAACCATCTCCACTGCCAGACAGCTGGAAGCTGAGGGAGATATTTGCCACTGGTGTTGTGCTAGGTAGTTACTTGGCACTAATGACAGTGGTATTTTTCTGGCTCATCAAGGATACCGATTTCTTCTCGGTAATAATTTACAGTTTTGGTTTTCCTTAATATTATCACCACCAAATGGATAAAATTGTGGGAGCCATAAGCACAATTTTCCCAATTGCAGGACAAGTTTGGTGTGAGGTCTATAAGAAATAACCCCGGAGAAATGATGGCAGCCCTGTACCTACAAGTCAGTATTATAAGTCAAGCACTGATTTTTGTGACAAGGTCCCGCAGCTGGTCTTATGTCGAAAGACCTGGTCTTCTCCTACTGGGTGCTTTTATGATTGCACAGCTGGTAATCTTGAATCTCCTATTATCAGCAACCTAGTACATGTAGTTGTTTCTTACTTTCTCTTCTGATCGTGTGATTGAAGCAGTGTCATTGTGTTTTGTCAAGAACCTGATCTTCATGATCTTGCACATGTTACTCACTTCACATCCACATCCATCATTGTTAAAAAAATATAAACTGAAGCACTAAAACCATGTTGCTAGAAAACATTTACATCCACAACTGAAAAAATAACCACGTCTCTAACTAAACTTAGCATTCAAACTGAATAAAAATCAAGATAGAGGACTCAATCAATACTTTTATTGTTTTCGGAAGCAATAATGATTTGCATGGTACTCCAGTATGTGATTGAGTAGTTCAAAAATATTTTGGCAGTTTGGCTTTCTTCTGTGGCCATAACAATTTGCTTCATGATTGATAGGTGGCAACATTTCTAGCAGTATATGCTAACTGGGGCTTTGCAAGAATTGAGGGAATGGGATGGGGTTGGGCTGGTGTAATCTGGCTCTACAGTTTAGTGACATATGTTCCACTTGATATACTTAAATTCGCAATCCGCTATGTTCTGAGTGGGAAGGCTTGGGACAATCTTTTGGAGAACAAGGTAATATGTTCATCTTTACTATTACTAATTGCATTGTTGATCCTAAACCAGAAACTTCAAAATTCAAAACTTGTTTATCACAGACTGCCTTCACTACAAAGAAAGACTATGGAAAAGAAGAGAGAGAAGCACAATGGGCAACTGCACAGAGAACTCTTCACGGTCTTCAGCCACCTGAAACAACCAACCTTTTCAATGACAAGAACAGTTACAGAGAGCTTTCAGAGATTGCTGAACAAGCTAAGAGACGTGCTGAGGTTGCTAGGTAAGCCACTGAATCCACTTCTACAGTGCCATTGTGTGGCATAAATTTGAGTGTGAAATGATTGAAGAAGAGACAAAATGCAATTCCTAAAGTACCTTTTTTTTTATTTATTTTGTTCTCCAATCATAATTAGAGTTTCATCTTGGTAATTTGCATTAAACCTTTATTACAGGAATTACACTTAGATGAAACTCTAATTCTAATTGGAAAACATCAATAAAAGCACCTAAGGAGCTATATGTAAGTTGTCCTTCATGAAAAGGTAGTTATAAAATAGTGATAATGTCTTACAGAGATTTCTTATATTGGTTTACAGACTCAGGGAGCTTCATACTCTGAAAGGACATGTTGAGTCAGTGGTGAAGCTGAAAGGGCTTGACATTGACACAATCCAACAGCATTACACAGTTTAAGAAGTTTGGACAATCTTCAAGAAGTCACTCTGGTGCTGTCCAAGAGCAGAAACAACAAATATAATGAAGACAAAAGTTAATGTGTCTTTATATTTAGGATGAAGGTCCTTTTGTGAAAATTTGAATGGTTACTGTTCCTTTTCATCTGTGTCAGTAGCTAAAGGAGATGCTATGCTCTTTAGATACCAAATAACATGGTAGATAGGATTTACTTACGTCTTATTTTGAGATCGTTAAATGATATCAAGGTCACTGTTAAGCTCTATATTTGTTTTTTCTGATGAACAAAACTCAATATATTTCCGATCTTAATCAACGTAGCTCAATAATGAATTCAATCTCCGTCTTCTTTTTTAATCTGTTAGTGTTCAGCATAAAAAGGACGATCAATGGATGGTGGAAGCACCTAACAGTACCTCACAATAGAAATTAAACAAAAGAAAATAAGAAGATCGGTGGAGATAGAGCAATTAGAATTTAGATGTGAAAGATAACGTGAATTGGGATGTGCTAATCTGAAATCAGATAAGGAAGATGGATTCTAATTCTGACTTATAAAGAGATTATTCCCCAACCCAACTCCACTGCATAAGATGGTCCGTCCTTCTGTACGTTTCTTTTTCTTTTTTATGGGCTAAGTTATTCCTCCTGTCTGAAGCCATGTGAATGGATGCAAGGAATAACACTCTTATAATGTTTTAGGTGGAGATGCCCTGAACCTTGTTTGAAATTCTGCAAAAAATAGAAACTAGTCACTACCAATATCTATCATGTTTGGTTCTCTTCTCTCCTTTAGTTTCAAAAATTCTTAATTCATTTTCACGCTACTTAGCAATCGATTCCTCATTTAAAATCTATTAATTTTAAAAATAATCCTCAGAAACAAGAAACCAGAAACGAGAGATAAATGTTTTCTTATCGTTTTGTTTTCACCTTGTTTAACTTCTCCCTCGGTTTCACACTCTATCTGTAGCTTGCATCATCCTTCACCTATTGTTTGATAACCTTGTTTAGTTGATTTTGAAAACTAGAGAATTTTTTAAAATAAAAAACAAAGATAGCCTTTTTATTTAAGGGGAGAGAATTGTCAAAACATGGAAATAAACCCTCCAGCGGTATGATCTGTCCTTCCATGGCTGTTTATAAAAGTGGTAAATGTAGCTAATAATAACCCTGTAGCAATATCTGAATTTTTCTTTTCTTCCTCGTTCTTGAAAAGAATTTTGGTGGTCGGCATGCAGCACTAACGCTTGTCGGTTTGGAGATAAGTTTGCCAACAATAATTATCGTTTTTTTGTTGCGCTACCTGGAGATAAAGATTCCAAGGAATAAAGTGATAATTTCACAAATTCGATGTGTATCCCACTTCAAAGATTTTCGAAACGGCAAGTCTATTCGAACAGCACCACCAGTGTACAATGATGCACTCCGAATATGGTGCCTGTTCTTTTAGCTGTCGATAGAGTTTCTATTTTTTAATGTAAAAATCCTCAAAAAAAACTAGAAAACATGTCCAAATAAGATGCATCAACTAAAAATGGACATTGAGTACCTAATACGAACTTAATAATAGCAACCAATTCAAAATTAAATATCAAAATCAAGTTTTGGCATCACAACGCATCGTCATGCAGTCCTCTCATGCCAACAACACAACCGTTCAAACCCAGAGTGCACTTCGTCCGCAAGCATAGCAGTATTGCACTCAGCCATTTACTTCATAATAAAGATGGAACTTGAATGATTAGCAAGCGTTCGTACTTGTATGAAAGATGGAACTTGAATGAAACCAACTTTTACATATATTGAATTATGATAAACCAAAAAAGAGAAATGACAACAGTTTGAAAAGATGAACCTAGCTCTGTCGTAGTAAATTATACAAGACACAGGAGTAGGCAATGAAGGAACAAGAAGGCCACAAGGGGCAACGACAAATGCTAACTGACAGCAGTACAGAAAAATGAACTCATCCTGTGAGGTAACAATTTTGAAGTTACTTTTTCTAATATTTAACATCTACCAAGAATTTTTACAGAGGAATCTAGACTAAGCGGGAGCCTTTTGATGATACGTCTGCTGAAGCGCTTGTGGTAAGTTTAATACAATCTCTGCGTATGCTGGAATGGAAGCAATGTATAAAAAGGTCAGTATAGAGAGAGAACTATCAGTAGAGAGCAGTGAAGAAATACGCATCACAATTATAAGAACAGGGAAGCAGGCTTGTAAAATAAACTTGGGGGAAACTTCCATAAAAATAAAAGCCCTTGCAGTGGAAAAATTTTGAGAATCAGAATTCATTCGTGTGATAGCTTCACCTAGCTGCACACATCCGACTAGGACATGAACAGCTGATGATGAACTACATGGTACAAAATCGCGAAATACACACTGTTAAATATTTTAAATTACATACAAAGTCAGAGTATTGAATGACTTTCATGTTTTCAACGTAAAAGAATTTATTTTATTTTTAACTTGTTATCATGTGCTCACACGCAAAAGAAAACTGCTTTAAGAAAAGAAATAAAGTTAATGCACCTTCTGGTAAACTCATGGTTCGTAAGGCATCTTCTGCATAGGTTAAGCGAATTGGAGTAGAATGACTTCCAGAGAGTCCATCTTCCTTCCTGTTCAAAGTTGCTGTAGTATTTTTATTGAACATTGGCCAGGCTAGCACTGATATTCGAGTTGGGAGCACCGAAATTAGATCAGCATATCGAAGGCTGACTGTCACCTTGCTGAAACAAAAAAGAAAATTGATTGAGCACAGAATATCTCTTAACCTCTTGTTAGTTTTTCTCTTTGCATGTATATCCAATTTCATTGCAGGAAATTTTAATAATAAACTTGACACAGAAAGAAATGTTAATAAATTTTAAATAAAACAAGAACTTTCTTAATTAAGGTGCAAACAAATCAAAATTGTAAAAACTACAAATGTTCCTTTCATAAGGGCCATTTCTCCCGGCACCCCAGCTACATGACCAAAATTTTTGGCATAATAAAGTTGATAGAAGGAAAATATAGACGGAGACAGATAATTGATCCCAAGGGAATGCAATTATAATCCAATTCCAAATCAGTAATCTGTGCGTCAAAGTCAACCTATATATATATATATATATATATATATTTCAAGTGCTACCAAAACTTTGAAGAAAAATGGTTCTGAAAAACAAGATTAATACAAGATACTAACCAATCAGAATCATCCAATACAAGTTCGATCATATGGTAGGGAAGGCTATGATAAAGCTCTCTAATTTGATTTCCATAAAGTTCCTTTATAAGTCTGACCTGCATGATATTCACAAGAGACAAACAAAGATGCGTGTTTTTTGTATCAGAATAACTTAGACATAGAACTCACAAGCAAAGGTTCTTTATCATTGCAGAGATTTCTCAAATTTCAAATAATGATTGATAGATTAATGTTTTGCACATACTTAATAATGGTCCATGTTGTAATCTTAATAGTAGAACTAGTAAATAAAACTAATAGAGAAAATAAAATTAAGCTGCCTATTTAGAACACAACTTGTTTTCATGTACTATCAATGTAAAGATTGTTTATTACATTCTCAGCTAATTAAAAATCAGCCTAAATATGACTTTTAAATTAATTATTACAAAAGTCACCAACAATGTCACTGTACATGACAAAACTAATGAATGACTAAGTAAAAACAGTTACACTATGAAGCATTCTAATTAAATTCTTCAAACATTCTGGGACAAATGCCAAATTCTTATGCAAACCCAACGTTTAACTCTAATGCACACATTATTCAATCATAGATAGTCCTCACACACACGGGACAAAAGACACTGGAAATTTTGTACGTTTCCAACTTCATGCGATTGGGACAATTTGAATAGTTTAAATACCATTCAAGCCTTTATTAGAACAATTTTGAATAAACCTTTTGCATGCTGAGAAAGAAAGTATTTTAGCTTCAGCCTTTTCTATTTAACTATTCATTTGATGAATAAGAGTAAGGGCGTAAATCCTACAAGATACCGAGTTTGATAAATTTCACAACCAATGTTTTTAAACGGGTTGAAAGAAGTACTGCAACCTGGAATAAAAAATTTCACAATTTTCCAGAAAAAATAAGTGAGAGGGAGATCATCTGAAAAGTACATGCCTCATTGATACAGGAGATAGTGATTGGAGAATCCGAACTAACAATGACATGTCCTTTAGCAACAGTGTATAAAATAATACAAGTAAATATATTTGACCAAAATCCAGTTTTCAGTGCAGGGGTAAACCAAGTCTTAATAAGACATTTCTGAACATATAGATACATAATAGTCAGAAAGTACTTTCTTTGCACAATTGTAACTGTAAACCTTTGCACATAAATAAAAACAAATTCATGTAGATAGTGAAGACAAAATATTGGTATTCCAAAAATAAATGAATCAAACTCTCATAATGATTACATACATGAACAATCTACCTGTTCCCGTCTATCCACAAAAGCCTGCAATAGATCTCCAACATGGTCTATGAATTTCTGAAAGCAAATCAATAAAACAATGGTTATTAGAAAATGAAAATTGAAATACAGTGTAAAGGCAATATATATAAATGCCTTTACCATTGCATTGGATGAAAGGAGATCATTTTCTATTTCACGTATTGGCAGGAAAAATGGAACGGTGTGTTCAAGGACAGTCATCTTTTCAAGAAATGACTTACTCTCCAGCACACAATGGTAAAATTCACAAGGTTCACCTGGCAATAAATGAACAGGCTATATCACTTATCATCATTTAATGGCAAAGGAAAAGACAAAACGGAAGGAGGGGGCAAATATAAAAGGTCCTGCATCTGTCTTGTTATTTACGTAATCTTATGAGCTAAATAATATGTTAATGCATGAGAAAAATTATTCAAGAGAAATTTGATTGGCAATTACCAGCATACGATGTTTCATACTGTACGCCAATTCTTGCTCCTTCCAAACAGCAAATTACCTGCCAACAAATACACAACCAAATTCCAATATTTAAAAGATGATGAGCTGATGAGAAAGTTAAGACAGAATACCAACTAATCTATACACAATCTCAAACACTCAGACAGACCAATAATTAAGTTATTAATAACATAAGGAACATCAAGATATGACAAGAAACACAAAAAAAAAGCATGCAGCAAGGAAGCGAGACCGCACATCATAAAGACGACTAACTTGAAAATCCATGAGCACAGTACCAAGGAGAAGCCATAAATAACTTCCAATCTCATAACAAGTTAATAGAGAAACGAATGAAAATGAAAGTGATCGCTCCATCCATCCTCACTAAATGATTGCAGAAATCAAAACCCGTAGTTTCTAAACATAGCATAAAACACACCCCGACTCCTCTTAAGCACTTCAGTTTTCTGGTTCTGTCCCTTAGACAATTGAAATATAACTGACCCCGAACTTCTAATCTGTTACTTTGTCACTTGTGCCTTTTTTTCCCTTCTTGGGGTAATGTATAGAATCTTTGAAATGAATGCTAAAACATTTACAAGTATAATATCTTTTACTGAAAAACAAATCATTTGCAATGAAAGGCAGGTGAAGCCATGTAATATTACCTTGTTTCCAATTTTATATGTAATTTTTTCATGAGGACATGACAATATGTCAGCATCCCCATGCATTGCTTTTCTGTCTGACTCCATATGCACCTGATAGTGTGCAAAAAACGAAAGTGAAACTGAAAAGAATTGATAATTATAGAGACCACCAAATATCAGAACAAGTCAAATAAAAATGGTAGCAATCAATAATTAATACCCGCTCTCTTATTGTAGCTAGTAGACCATCATTCCACGCATCCCCATCTAAACATATCTCTACAATAAAAAATGGTGGTTAGAAATAATTTTCTGGACATCTATACAGAAATGAATAAACAAAAGACGTTGGTCAGTATCTCAGATGTCAAAGAGTATATATTGGCAACTGAGCCAAGATTAACGTCTTAATAATCTTCTCTACTTAAAATGCTTTAAATTATAGAACGTTTATTCTGATCAGTTCCCTTTTCTTATTCCATGTATAAGATTTTTTATTTCATTAGTATCCAATTCAATTCTTACTGGTATAAAATATATTGTGAATATTTTGACATTTTAACAGTAATATTTCAAACAATAGATAGGTAACAACAAGATCAACTTATGTTTATGCAGGGTTGGGCCAAAGGCACTGAAAAATCTTATTGCAATTTATATTCAATGTTTAAAGGTTACCCTGTTTCAACCCAATCCAGTCAGTGCTTTGTCTCCTCTGGCACACAGGCTTGTCATACACATGAGATAATATAAACAACTACATTTCCATATATGATGCAGGAAAAAATATCACTCTGATCCTCCAAAGAAAGTTGACATTAACTTAGCTCCCCAATCAAGAAAACCAATATTAAAGTCAACCTTTTGTGTGCAGACTGTGAGAAGACTGTTGATGGAGCTTCTGATTTTAAAAAGACTAAATTGAAGCAACAAATCACAATCTGATTGAGGGGTTAGATTGGTGCTACTTTCCATAATAGAAGGACTTAATTAATGTCAAATTTATGTGGAGGGCCAAACGATACCCTTTCTATAACTGAGTGCCTAAATTAATGTCAACATTTGCACTAATTAAGTCATGGGAAATAGAAAAAGAAACTCCTAGGATACTAGGTTACAGATAGATACAATAGAAAACAGCTTTTTTGCTCAGAAGATAATATTAAATTATTCTAACAGAAACAAATTAAAATTTCACAGGAAAATATTCCATGTGATTAGCATTTGCTTCTCATATATCCCGTCATTACCAATCTTACTATGATAAAAAAAATAGTTTTTAACTATAGGGATTTGAAAATATTGAATGGATGCATACATATGAAAAACCAAAAAATTTGGAAGGTTTATAGAAATGAACAAAAAACAGTAATTGAAAAGGCAAAAAAAAGAACCATTTCAAAAGGTAAAAAATCATATCAGCTACACTAGAGTACAACAAAGGAAATAAATGACGAAAAAAAATTGAGACCACGCAGCATCTACTGCTAATTTATTAAAGAATTCATCTCCAAAGACCAAAGTCAAAGCTACCTTCAGTTTGAGAAGCTCGTGCAGCTTCGAACTCTTTCTGCAGACGCTCAAATATTATCTTGTCCGAATCCCTGTGAACCCAATATTAAAAAGATTGTTACCACAGCATACAACAACTAATGGATGTCATGAAACCACAGTATTAAAAGTATCATAGAATGCATTAAGATATTGACTGAGGAAGAGAGAAGAGACCTAAACATCTTCTAGTGACCAAAATACACCTTGATTGCATGAACAGCATTTTCAAAACATGCTAGACATTACACATAAGAAATCTATAAAGAAAAATGAAAAATAGAAGAGATCCTTCTTACTAATGATCTGGAATGTTTGCACATGCTATGATGTCAACATCTAATTGCAACAAAAGGTCTGACTTGGCATGTCAGTCACGGTTATCAAACCCATATAGCATTTAGCAATCAGCCCAAAAAAAGTTATATAAAGACAGTGCCTAGTGAGACGACCCTATAGATTATAGGTTTGAGATATAAAAAATCATTGCATTATACATATACAAAAGCCAAAAAAATTTAAAAGTACTAGGACAATTAAAAAAAGGACAGAATTGTGAAATCCACTATAGTTATCTAAATTCTTCCCAATTTCCATCTTATCAACCACAAACTTAATTCATGCATGTTCACGTAAAAAGACCAAGAACTTCAATGGTTTCCTCATTGAATACATGAAATATATTTCTAATCCTATCCCACCCACTGGTATACAAGTAAACAATAAAGTAAAAAATGGCACAGCATACAAAGCCAAGCATCAGCATGATAATACTATCATATTAATTTGCAGGTCAAGTGTCTGCACATTGATGACTTTCCAATGACAAATTGTACTACAGAAAGAAGCCGTCAGCATCTTCAAGAGTGATTTACCTGGCAAGACGTTCTGTCAAATCTCCATGTCTTTTAAGCAAACTTCCAACTATCATTGAAAGAATAGAATAGCTGACATGTAATGTAGAAAATAGATATAAAACCAATGAGATAATAGACTTACATCTAGTTCGGGTAATCTCCAATCGATTATCATCATCTTGCATAAAATTCTGACAAAAAAGAGAATTCAGCTTTAGTTTCAGCAAAGAAAAAGTACTAGCAATACACAGAAACAGAGAACTATGTAACTTACATAAATTTTCCGTTTTTAATTTTAAAACATTGAATATGCTAAAATGCACAATAACATCATGTAAATTTTTTCTTCAAAGCCATTAGTATACCGCTTAACACTGCTATGCATTTCTGAATCAGTGTTCTATCAAACAGAAATCATTAAGGGTATGTTTAGGAGAGGAATTTTATAGGGAATGACGAGCAAATTGTTTATTTTTAAATTATGAAATATTTTTTAACAATTTTAAAATAAACAAAAGATCAGGACATTAAAGTTTTGTTAATCTATTATTTTATATCTTTAATTCTAAACAACTGTCAAATTAGAGAATATTTATTAAAAAAATTCCCTTTTCTTCCTTTCCCTCTAAAACCAAACTCTCAAAATATACAATAATGTCAACATACCCTAGCCTTATGTTGAGTCAACCAAAACAAATGCAAGCAATAATGCACATTCATTTCCCTTTTGCTGATGATCTTGAGACCAGGAAATAAGATAAAGCAACAAATGTTTCTTTTCCATTAAAATAATAGCTACAAAATCAAGAAATGGCTTCATGACATAGCTATTCTTGCCCTTGATTAGAAATTGAAAATTTTAAGTACTACTCTTCCAAGTAGCTTAGTTATTGTGTTCAGTTGAGCTAATTGTTCTCTTGAGAACATCGGTGGTTACTTATTATTTTTTAATCATTAATAATTTTTAAAAAATAGATTTTAAGTCTAACTCAACCCTACAAAGTTAGCTTTTAAAGTGAGATTTGCATCCACTTATATATCATAAATGCATCGTATCTCTAGTCAATGTGTAATCTCCAACACACCCCCCAAACCAATATACATATCGAGTTTGGCACCAAACATTAATCGGTGGTCTGATAGTAGATGGCACGATAACCTAACCAATCTTGCAAGGATAGGATAGGTTTTGGATGGCTTAACTCAATCATACAAAATCTACTTATAAGGTGACACTCACTTATATACTGTAAATTCGCTCTATCTTTAATCGATGTAAGATCTCTAACAATAATATTACTTATAGATAATTTTGTTGAGTGGTACATTCACATGAACAAATCCAAGAAATAAATTATTTGTTTCTTCTCTCTTCTCACATGGTGTCTAACATCTCAAGACTACAGGGCTCTGCTTTGAAGAAGGAAAGAACAGACTCTTAAGTAGTTAGTACCCTATAAACTTGACTAGGCAAGCTGAGTGCTGTCATGTTACACTGCATTACTGCATTTCCGACAATCAAATTTTACCAAGGGAATAGGACTTTCCAACATCCGAAGTTCTTTCAACTTTTCTTGTATGCAATAATTTCCAGCAACTTTTCCTATGAACATGGATGGGTACCAAGTGTCGTCAAATTTTAGTGTATTACCACCTCTCCTAAACATTTCCAATGGCCATCAGAATTTCAAATGGCATCATATATTACATTAGCAGTTTTATAGAATTTTCAATTCTTAAGGGGACACCGGGAAGAGAAAATGTATATACAAGAAAAAGGAATACAATTCATCTGGCTTTTTATTAATGTTGAATACCATCATATATTACACTGTAGAAAGTTTGGTTATCAAATTTACGCATATAGCCCAAATACCACTAACAAACCACTTGTACAGGAAGAGGAAATTTATATATAAGAAAAAGGAATACAATTTGAGTAGTTTTCACTAATGTTGGCTATGCAAGAACAGTAAATGATAGGAGATCCACTAATGGAAATTTCTTTTAAGAAACTTGTAACTTGAAGAGGCAGAATACAGAATGTTGTGGCTCAACCTATGGTAGAAGTTGAGTTCCAAGCTATGGCACAAAGTATTTGAGAATAGCTTTGGTTTTAAATTATTATAGAATACTTGAAGATTAAAGGCAATGGACCTATGAAGCTCTAGCCTGAAGATAGATCAGCAACCGACATAATTCATACTGCTTTGCATGATCAAATGAATAAAAGTGACGTCAATAGGCCTTTTATCAAGGAAAAGCTTGATGTTTGATTTGCACTCCATATATATGTACCTCCACTAAGTCAACTTGCAAATACTCTTACCAAGAGATTGCACAATTCAGATTTTGAAAGAATTATGTGCAAGTAGAGGATAGGAACGTCTATTCTCCAAGGGAAGCAATGGGAATAGTAGCAACTCCAAGGGAAGCAATGGGAATAGTAGCAACTCCAAGGGAAGCAATGGGAATAGTAGCAACTCCAAGGGAAGCAATGGGAATAGTAGCAACTGATGAGTACTACTATTCGAAATCATAACAGCTGCTATCACAGCAAAGCAGTGCAGAGTGGTGCTGTATAGAAATGATGACTTATTGCATCACGATTTACAGTTGCTGTCGCCACAACTACCATTGCTACAGCGCAATCACACCCTCATTTAATTCTTTCCAATAACTTTCATGCCTTATTTCAAGGAATGTATGAACTCTCAGCTATTTTGTTTAACTTGATTTGCTCTATCAAATAATCATTTACCCTCAAGTTCAATCATCTTAGCTTCATAGTTATCAATCCTGAATTGCAGTCCCGTAGCAGCTAGATCATAAAACAGTATTGGTGGATAGCAACAAGTAGGATGAACACTATTTTAAGTATTATAATTATAAAAACAATAAAAATATACTACATATAAATATTCAGACCAAAATGAAGAAATTCACGTTAAATAATAGTTTACTCATATATTAAGACCATAGTAGTTGTTGAAATTTCTCATCGATTAGAAACATAATTAATGTATTCCTAATAAGGATTGAGTAATTCTCCCCTTAAAGACATGGATTAGGGATTTCAGTTAAGCCCAAACTAAAATAGTATAGAAGTCCATCCCATGTAGATTGGTTATTAGACTACCAATGTATGTGTGCACCTTAAATGCCAATTATTAGTTAAACGTTGTTATTATTGGGTCATCACATTTGTCCATGTTGCAGATGTATAGTCTTGGCATGAAGGTTAGAATTGAGATCATCAATCAACCAAAAAATGGCCGTAGTAATCCTTTTAAGGCTTAAACAGTCCTCACCTTACAAAGCTACCATCAGGTTATGTTAGACTCTAAATAACAAGATCCATTATTGCATCACCAATATTTGCTACACTCTGGATGTTTAGTCTTGGGTGAGTGTGATGGGGTTGAGATCTCACACGGGCCCATAACCCAGGTCCCAGGATCGGAACCTGGCTCTGATACCATGTTAACAAGTGGACTTTAAACCTAACTCAACCCACAAAACCGACTTTTAAGGTGAGATTTACATTCACTTATATATTATAAATTGGCCTGATCTCTAGTCAATGTGGGACTTCCAACAGGTCTTAAGCCCGTATTCTAAGAGTAATAAGTAAAAAGAATGAACGATTGTAAAATGAATATAAAGAAAAAATAACAAATTAGCATAATGTAAGAAAAAATAACAAATTAGCATAATGTGAACTAAGAAGTCTGAAGGAATAAGAAAGAAAAGAACAAAAGAACGTCCTGTAAAGTGCAAGTGGACAAAAGTAATTTTTTGGGGAATGGCTAATGAAGAAGGGATTCAAGTTCTGTTACGTTTCTAAAGCAAAAATGCATTAGAATAAGGGGGAGAAATCATAACATTAATACTCCCGTACAATATTATTTACAGGGGTAAAAGTAGGATATTGTAACCTATAATGTGGCACAACTGCTATGTTGCACAAAAAAAAGAAAAAATCTATTGTTAAAGCCTTCACCACTACTAAAAACCACTTCATTATTAAATCCCATGGCATCACAAGGCTGCTCTCATCCTCTCCTTTATTACCCCACCATAGCACCACAATAGTGCACTATTAGCTAATGTGATTAGCTACAAGTCAGAGATCACCAAAACTACTAGAAAACCAATCCCACCAGTGGCCAGACATTTACTGCAGAGGGATGAAACCTCTAGACCTGCCATATCCATTTGGCATTTTGACTCTAAAAAAGAAGAACGAAATGGAAAGAATCATTTTGGCACTGCATCTGTGTGTTTTTTCCCTTATTCATGCTCAAGCAAGTCAACAATAAGGTAGTATAAACAAAAATGCCAGTGGAAAGAAATCCATAAAGAAAATTAACAAATCTTCTTCAAATGTTCATCCAAATTAAAACTTAATATCATGAAAGTGAGAATCATTACCACTTCCCCAATTATTGCAAACGGCCCACCAAGATATTGTTCAAACTGCTGAATTATTGAATAACAATCAGTTCACATAAAAAAGAAAAAAAAAAATTATTAATCATGAACCAGCAAAAAAAAATCAACTCAATAGCATCAAACCGCGTAAAACAAAGTCACAATTATAATTTACAAGTAACTAGTCAGTAATTACACTTGAAAATCCCCCCGGATAAATTCTCAGATGATCGTTAACCCCAAACTTTACCCGAACTTATCTTTATAAAATTAAATCAACCTAATACATCAGAAACCCACTTTATATCAATAACCTCACGATTTTGTTAGGGAAGGAAATCACGAACCTATCAAGATAACCTATACGAAGTAAGATGAAGCAAACAAGCATATAGTTCCCGAACTCTACGATGAGGTATAGTCCTATGTATAATTGGGATTAATAGTGAAATTCAGATGAATAAACACTAAACTAGGTTTTATAGTCACTCCGTCATATTTACAGTGGCAGGTATGCACAAGCAATACTTGAAAGTTGCAACACAGTTTCGTAACTAGAGACAGACAGACAGACCTTGCGAGAGGATGAATCCGCGGAGAAAGGATATTTTCTGGGCCTCTTCCGCAGAGATTCTTCCACATCGCTCTCCATTTCAATCACAAACAATGCCTTCTTTCACTGTGCGAACTGGTGCGAGGCACACTATAAGTGTGAGTGCCCACCCAAAAACGAAAAAATAAAATACCGAGATGGGATTTTTAGTTAGGTTCGGCCTACTAGGAAGTGAGTCACGCTAGATGATGTAGCCCATAAACAACAAAACTTGGGTCATTTTTTTCTGCACCATATAAAATTTCTTGATGCACCCCATCAAAAGCCTCTGAAAAATTATTTCCGTAATAAAATTGGAGTGATTGTCAACAAGAAAAAAAATATTCAAATTTGTGTTCCGAAAAATAATTTGTCTCTTTTATCTTGCTGCCATGTCATTATTGTCTATGTGTTATTTATATGGATGCAAGGAAAGAAAGTGGTATAGTTGTGCAATCCTGAAATAATTTTTTTACATTAAAAAAATTATTTCATTGTGTAATTCAAATATTAGAAAATGGCTTTTAAATTATACAATCCAAAAATACATTATCAAATTATGCCATCTAATATTTCTTTGTAAAAAAATTAATGTATAATTTAAAAAATACTTTTATATTAAAAAATAATTTTTGAATTATACTTCCAAATGTCAAAAAAAAAAATTTTAAATTGCATGACCTGAAAATAAAAATAACTTTTAAATTTTACAATTTGAAAAGTTTTTACGTAGAAAATAATTTTCAAATTATACATTTGAAAACTTTTTTATATAAAAAATCATTTTCAAATTATATAATTAAAAATCATTTTTATAGGTATATTGGAAATTTTCGCCTTCACAGAGATGGAAGAAATATATGAAAATGTGACAACAAATCCCCATAAATTAATTGTTTGCGAAAAAAATATGCTACTACTTGCTTCTATTAACAATAAATAAAATAATTTTAAATTATATCAGACAGTAATGAGTTAACTTTCTAATGAGTTAACTTTGTCTTTAACTTTCTAATAAAGTTATAAAAAATAATTTTGTTCTGATTTTTCTGAAAAAATTATTTAGAAATATAATGTTATGTGGGTTTACTTTGACCCAAATTAAATTAAAAAAAATTGAATTATAAATTTGATAAGATGATAATAAGATATTTTGAAACTTTTTAAAATTGAGTGCCTCAAAATAATTAAGAGGTGCATTATTTTTTTTAATTTCAGAGGTGATAAGAAAATTAAATTCTCTTAAAATGTTGTTTCTTAATTTAAGGGTGACAAATGGGTTGAATAAGTAGCTCTTCGGAGCCATAATACTTTTTTTTAAAAAGCTATTTACTTATTTGAAAGTGATTTCCTAATATTTGTTGTGAAAGAGATACCAACTAATCATATCCAAAAATGAATACTATTTATTTGTTATGGATTCGTAATAAAGAAAAATTATTTGTTATTTATCTCATTATTTATCAAATATCCATCTCATTATTTATTGTCTGTGTAAAAAATATCTAAAAATATTTTAAAATTTATGGATATATATATATATATATATATATATATATATATATATATTAGCATATATATTAAAATATATGTTTTATAAATTTATAAAATAAAATCTAAAAAAATAAAATTATAAAATATAAAAAAATAAGTTAGATATAAACTAAATTTTAACTTAATAAAATATCAATTAAAATTTATTTTTATTTTTATTTTTTATGAATAATATATATTTATGGTATAATATCATACTTAAACCATTTATAAACAAATATTAAAGTATTTAATAATAAATATCCGTAAATAAACTATCCACAAATATCTATTAATACAGATATTTTTTCAACTCTATGTTAGAAAACTTGATGTACTATACATAATAAAAAGAATTATTATTAAAAATAATTGTACAAGTGTTACATTGGGAATAAAACATATCCTTTCATCAAATTTATTAATTCTTACATTTATTTGAAAAAGAAAATATAAGAACATTGTGTAGAAAAATATATATATATATATATATATATATATATATATATATTTAAAAGATTAATTTATTATTGAAAAAAAAAAACCTTAATGATTAAGACATGAATAACATGCAACATAATTTTTGAACATACAGAATACAAAACATTATCATTTTTAAAATCATAGTGAAAAAAATATTTTTTAACAGTCTTTAAATTAACAAGATCATCAATACTCTCACATAAAGATATCAACAATGTTAATGTGAATACATCCATATGATCATGAACTTATAATGATAGTCTTTGTAAGTAAAATGTAATGAAGCTTTGAGTTATATCAGTGATCCAAATGATACAATTCAAACATTACATTCATTAAGATCACATAAATACTAATAAATATCAGTATCATAATATGACATTTTGTATATAATAATAGCATTATTATGTTTCGTTAGAACTATGGATTACAACAAATGTCATTAAAGTATGCTAGTAGTACATATGTTAAACAACATGGATATTTTTTCATAAAAGTATCACATTACAGAAAACCCTTTTCTTTTCATTTATTAAGTCTACCCATAGAAAATTAAAAAAACATGTTAAACAAGAGATATTCCGGTGACTAAAGCATAGTGAGTTCAACTAGCAATAATCTTTGTCACTAAAGTCATGTTGGAAAGTTGAAAAGGACATTAAAACTATGTTAGTTTGGTTTCTATAGTGTTAAATAGTGTTTTTTTTCTCTCACCATCAATGAAGCTCCAAATCACAAATATATATATATATATATATATATATATATATATATGTGGTTCGATTTGTTTTATTATCTTTCATTGCACAATTTTTTTATTTTCTCCTTATTTAACTTGTTAAAAGTTCACGTAATTCACTTAGATTTACAAAGTATTTTTATCTTTGATCACAACCTTAATTTTACATTTTTTATTTGTGATTTTATTTAGTTGTGTATTCACTTTCAAAAATCACAAACCTCAATTTTATTAAATAAAATAATTTATAGGATAGACATTTGATTACTTTGATTAAATATATTTATTACTATCAAATTATTGACCAAAATAATATTTTTCATTCATATTTTAAAGTATGTATTAATTTCGTCCTTACACCATATAAGAAAAACATCATTAATGACAATTGGTATTAAAATCTTTTTGATGTGAAAAATCAAATGTATATAACTAGATTTTTTTTTCTTATAGATAATGAAACATTGTTCTCACTTCACGTAACTTGGATTATAAAGATGACCACATACATGGTTAACTTGGTGAACGTGAATGAAGAGGTGGTAGATCCAATGATTGGTGGTGGTGAAGTTGAAGGTGATAGTTACGTGGAAAACCCTGAGAATAGTTATGATGGTAAGGTTGGTGAGGTTACGTATTATAAAGTGGGTTTAAACCAGCTTGTAAGGTGAGGTTTGCATCTCACTTATAAACAACGGGTGAAAACAGAAATATTCACTTAGAACTCGCTAGGATAGACTCTAACCATAACTCTAATATCATATTAAGAAGTGAGTTTTAAACCTAACTCATTCCTACAAAACTGGCTTGTAAGGTGAGGTTTGCACCTTATTTATATATTATAAATTGGCCTTATTTCTAGTCGATGTGAAACTTTAACATTACGTAATAAAGGACCTCAAGTTCTTCCTACTACTTCCAAACCTAACTTCATAAGACGGTGATTCAAGAGTTGGAGTATGTGTTTATCTTTGTAGCCCTCGCACATGACACTATTAGTTGTCTTAAGACAATTAATATTCCTGAAATTTCAAAATGAGGTTGTTTGTGATTACTAGGGAAACATTCTAATGTTGTTTGTTGTCAAATATGTTTTACATTATTTTATAAATTGTGATGATGAAATTAATACAACTTAAGTAAATAATATTGAAACATAAAATATATATTGAAACACAAAATATATTTAATTTTTCTTACTTTTACTTATTTTAAATATTTTTATTATTTATTTTTCAACATAAAAAAAGTCTTTTACTCTCAATTGTAAATGTTTAATTAAATAAATTTTTAATTTAAATATCTTTACTTACATGTCAATTAGGCTATTTCATTCTATCGATGCCTGAGTTACTTAGTTTAAATTGAACTTAAATCGATTTAACTTGATTTAGTTTTAATCTATATTATTTCGGTCATTCTATAACCTATACTATTTCGATCATTCTATAAGTTGATGTTCTCTTATCCAATTTAAAATTTCATAATTTGAAAATATTTTCCTAAAGAAAAAGTTTGAAAATATAAAATTAAAAAACCTTAAAGAACTTTATAAAAAATAATATCAATAAACATTAACTACAAAATATGATTAATATTATATTTTTAAAATTTTTAACAATTATTTGATAATTAAGTAATTTTTTAAATTTGATAATAGTTGAAATACCTTTAAAAAACTGTTCACTATATTTAAATTGTTTTATTCAAAATAACATTTAAAAAGAATAAATTTAATTCAAATATAATGTATTTAAATGTTTTAAAAATAAAAATTGTAAAATTTTCTATCAAAATACAAAACTAGTTATTTATTTAAATAATTTTTACATTCAAAATTAATTATTTATTTGAATATGCATTTAATTTACTATTCTCATAATTACTTTTTTTTTCTTTGTTCCACTTCTAATTACTCTCGTTTTGACCTAGTTCTATCTATTAAAGATATTTAATGTTTATCGTAATAATTTATCATACAAAACAGTAATTTATTTGATGCAATGTAAAAAAAATTATAAACTAGAATAACAAATAATAATTTTACAAATATTATTATGCAGGTATAAAAAACTGGTTTTAATTGTCAATTATTTCCAACAAAAATAAATAAATACAACATATATTTTTAAAATAACGAGGAAAAGACCCTGTTTTAAGAATGACCAATGCGAAAGAGAGAGAAGAGAAGAAACATAGTATTAGCAGATCGAGTTAGAAAGAGAAAAACAAAATTCAATATAAAATCACCAACAATTAGAAATAAAAGATAAATAAATTGGAGAAAAAAAAAGAAAAAAAAAGGAAGAGAGAGAGGCAAAGGCAAAGCTTGGAAGATTGAAACCCAGTGAGTGAGGTTCGAGATTTGTGAGCAATTCGTGAA